TCCAAGATCCCTTTCCACTTCCGTGCCACCCAGCAGGTCATTTCCTACGCAGTAGGTGTGCTGGACATTTTTCCTCCCTAGGTGCAGCACTTTGTATTTCTCCTTGTTGAACTGCATTCTGTTGTTTTCTGCCCATATGTCCAACCTGTCCAGGTCTGCTTGCAGCTGTTCCCTGCCCTCCGGCGTGTCCACTTCTCCCCATAGCTTTGTGTCATCCGCAAACTTGCACAGAGTACATTTCACTCTCTCGTCCAAGTCGCTGATGAAGACATTAAAGAGTATCAGTCCAAGGACCAAGCCCTGCAGGACCCCACTGCCCACACCCTTCCAGGTTGAAACCGACCCATCCACCACGACTCTCTGGGTGTGACCCTCTAGCCAATTCGCCACCCACCGGACTGTGTAGTCATCCAAGTCACAGCCTCTTAACTTGTTCACCAGTATGGGGTGGGATACCGTATGAAAGGCCTTCCTGAAGTCTAAGTATACGACATCCACCCCTCCTCCTGTGTCCAGGCGTTTCGTAACCTGGTCATAAAAAGAGATTAGATTAGTCGGGCACGATCTGCCTGCTACGAACCCGTGCTGGTTTCCCCTCAGCATAATTTGTCCTGCCGGGCTCTCACAAATGTGAACCTTGATCATTTTTTCAAAGATTTTGCCAAGGATGGATGGAGGTGAGACTGTGACTAACTTTGTTACCCCAAAGACAATTTTTGTTGCAAATTGCTACCCTGACATTTCTGCCAACAAAGTTGCCAGTAACTTTTGAAAGGGCTTCCTTGGTTATGTACTGAGATGTCAAACTTCTGAGCTCTAAGCAAGCTCTGACCCTGTTGGCTGCGTGAGAGTTGTTGGGCCAGTTTGCAGGCTGGATCTCAGGTGACCCCCTGTATCAAGTGCCAGGTTCTTCCCATGCGTTGCATTCCTCATGCACCAGCCCCACTCTGCGCATGGCCTGGACCCACCACTGCACACAGCACAGGGGTTAGTTTGAGGCACAGGCTGCACAGTGTCCTGAACAGACTGGCATCTGTGCATGCTGGAGCCAGTGCACAGGGCAGATACAGAGAGGTGCCATGTGCTGCTCACACTCTCTGGGCTCCCTGTGCTGTGTGCAGCACTGGCATAGTCTGCATGCCACTTGCAGCACAAGCATCATTCTGGCCCAGCACATTGCATGCACACCAGGCCATGGCCTGGTGACAGGCTCAGCATTGGGCACATGGAGCCAGCCTGGGGTGCATGCTGCATGTGGCTCCCCACTGGGCTGGCTGTGTGCTGACTCCAAGTCTGATCTGAATTGGACTGGCCCCAAAGCCAGCACACAGAGCCAGTTCAGTATGGGCAGTGCATGTTGCCCACATCCTCTGCTGGCCCACAGGCTATATGTTTGACATCCCTGTTTTATCCAAATTTGTTTGTGGGGAACTTCAGTGAGGCTACCCAATTATTGTTTATAGACCACAGCTAACTCTGCTTTTTCAGGAAGCACTGACCAGGAAACACCTGTAGGGGGAGGAGGCAGCCAGAAAACGTCAGTGCACTGGACACAGGGAAAAATAGTATGAAACCATGTGGATCCTTTGCCACATCCCCTCTGAATTTGGAACCACCTTCACCTATGTGGAGGGGAAGCTTTAGATACTTTTGGCAAGTTGCAAGTTTCTTTTTGCTTCAGCCAGAGTGGTAGGTCATCCCGTGTCCCCCCCGCCCATGAGTGGGCAGAGGGGAAGGAGTGCCCTTGAGTTAATTAGATTTTATAGAATATGATTGTATACTGAAGAGATGGAAGAGTACAGGAGCTCATGCAAATGGGAGAGAGGAAATACTATATCTTCACATATTGGCGTTTGTGTAATTTGTTTAAACATCTTGTCTTTTCAACTGTGAATTCTTTAAGGCAAAAATAATTTTTTATTCTGCGTTTGTGCAGTATATTACAGAATGGTATCCCTGTCCTGACTGGGGGCATGAAGTACCACCATAATGCAAATTACAGATAATGCTGATGGACAGCATTGGATGGCAGTGATCTATGATCTTCACATAGAATGTCAGAAACTTTAGGTGACCACTATAGAAGAAAATCTTTAAGTTATTTAATTTTAGAACATTTGGCTTTTGTAAAATCCATTGGAAATTCAAGCTATTTTCTTAACTTTTGTGTGCTTGCTGTTAGTGAAGGTTTCAAGAGTATTAATTTGCACATGCCATTAAATAAAAGAAGGCAACAACATTTGGCTTATATTATAAACTCAAGGGTATTTTTTACCTGAAATAACAAATGTTCTACAATAGACTTCTATTTTGTTTGGTGTAGTTGTAGGAAGATGGTTTGTCTGCCACTCATTTTTGTAGGCAGCATGACTGTAAATCATTATGCGTATATTTCAATTACATTTAGAAATGCAGTAAGAGAAAGTTAAGATTACAGAGTTAAGAATTCAGAAGTTGGGGATGGTCAGTGTAAAGGCCACTTATGCATACTTAATTCTTCTTGTGCATATTCATTAAGAGAGTATTTCTGTAGAAAAATTGCTTTGTTCAGAACCCATTTCTCCTTTCTTAATTCTGAATTTCCCCAGGTGGAATTGCCTAAGGAAATTTGTTTTATCCTAAATACACTAGTATGCTGATATGCTTTCTGTCTTATTTCCCATTTGGGGTAATATCTATCTGGGAATAATATAGTAAAACAGAAAGCAGGTATACTTCATTAAAAATAACAAGAAGTTTTTATTGCTTTTGACTTTTTGCTTTACAGGCTAAAGTGTAAACTTTGATCCTTTGCTTACTCCTACTTCATATGCATTTATTTTGCTAGTCAACTTGAAAAGAAAATGTTATGTAAGTGATTATGATGTATTTAACCCTCTTTTAAAACTTTTTTTCAATAAGTGAGAGAGCTTCCTCCAATTTGCCTTGACGTTAGGCAAAAACAACGCATCTCGATAGAAACACTACCGCAGGAACTGAAAGCTCCAGTCCCTCCAGAACCTTCCCTTCCTGTACGAACCAAAACTGTGAAAGATTTCCAGTAAGTGTTGTAGATGTTTAAAGTGTATACTTTTATTTTGTTTGTTTTTCATTGCCTTTTTTGTTCACCCTGTGGCTTTTTATTTTTTAATTTTATTTTCTGGCTGAACTCCAGTGAGAACCAGTCAAAAATGGCAGCAGAATGTTAATCAGAATATAATTAATCAAATTAGTTCATTTAGGACATCGGGTTTAACGCATCAAAGCCACTTAAGGCTTGGTCTTTGGTACCCATTTCCATGAGCAAAACTCTGTGTGTGTCTAGTGGTCAGAGCTCTTCTGTGGCAGCTGAATCCTTCTTTCCATTTTCATCAGAGGGATGACCTCTGACAGACGTAACCAAGCAAAAGATGCCCCAGTGTAAGTATACCAGCAAAGCTGTGCTTCTGCCTGTGTAGGTTGTTTTCATAGAATCATAGAAGTAGGGTCAGTAGATCTTCAAGTCTGACCCCCTGCCTGGGCAGGAGGAAACTGGGTTCAAATGACCCCAGCCAGGTAGGCATCAAGCCTCTTCTTAAAGACCCCCAGGGTAGGAGCCAGCACCACTTCCCTTGGAAGTTGGTTCCAGATCCTAGCTGCCCTAACTGTGAAGTAGTTCTTCCGGATGTCTAATCTAAACCTACTCTCCAACAACTTGTGGCCATTATTCCTTGTTATCCCTGGGGGCGCTAGGGGAAACAAGGTCTCCCCCAAACCCTTCTGGTTCCCCCTAGTGAGTTTATAGACGGTCACCAGGTCCCCCCTCAGCCTTCTCTTGCAGAGGCTGAACAGGTTCAGGTCCCGTCACCTCTCAGTGTAGGGCCTGCCCTGCTGTCCCCGGATCATGCGGGTGGCCCTCCCCTGGACCCTCTCAATGTTGTCCACATCCCTCTTGAAGTGGGGCGCCCAGAACTGGACACAGTACT